TCCAAGCCCAGGGTGCCCCGAGCGTCCCAGCAGCCTCCCCGCTCGCCCGGGGCACCGGCCCCGTGTCCTCCTGCTTCACCCGCCTTTGAGGAGCATCTCCCGCGTCGGGTTTTGGTTCCCGGTCCCTCCGTCCTTCAGCACCGCCTCCACCGTCCCGTTTTCCTCCTGCAGGCGAAGTACAAGGAGCGAGGGACGGTCCTGGCCGAAGACCAGCTGGCCCAGGTGGGAGATCCGGAACAACCGCGGCTGGGGGCCCAGCCGCAAACCCGGGCTTCGTTTCCTCCTCTGCTTCGGTGTCCGGAGCGCTGTGCGCGAGCAGCGCGGGTAACGACGGCGCCCGCGAGGCTGCCTTTCCTCCAGAGAGCTGTGATGGTTGCTCCGGGTCTCGCTCTGCCTCCCTTCTCGAGACCCCAGCAACGTCTCACTTCTGTAGAACGGTTCCCACCCCACGTGCATCGCAGAATAGCTGCTGCCCCCCTTCCCAGCCTACCTCGTGGTTCAGAGCGGCCCTTTGCCTTGCCTTCTCTCCGCTGGTACTGGTTTGTATTCAGTGTTAGAAGTGTACGTGTGGAGAAGGCCGATTCCAGCGAGCCATTTTTATCTTGTTTCCTTCCTTTAAGGCCACTGGGGCCATCTGCACCGCGTGGGCAGCACGTCAGAGGCCCGAGCGTTTCGTGAGGACTCTGCTTGCTGAGTGCCTGTTGGGGGCTGCGTTTACAGAAAAACTGCACTGAACAAGTGTTAAGGCAGAAACGCTTCTCCGCAATTCTCTTTCAGATGTCTAAGCAGCTGGACATGTTTAAGACCAACTTAGAAGAGTTTGCCAGCAAACACAAGCAAGAGATCCGTAAGAACCCCGAGTTCCGGGTCCAGTTCCAGGACATGTGTGCCACAATCGGCGTGGATCCTTTGGCATGTGAGGAACAGGCACCGGGGTTGGTGACTGGGGATTCACCTCGCCGCTCTCATACTGTAAACAGCTCGCGGTGAAGCTGGAGTTTCCGTGAGGAAAGCTGATGCTGGTTTGATTCCTGGGGGTTAAGTTGGTGTAACGTACCTTTGGGTGTGGGGAAGACAGGTGGGGACACCCAGAATGGAGGCTCCTCATGGACAGACCTGAGGCCTCGCAGCCAGGCTGGCGAGCAGTCTGCTTCGCGCCGGTAGTTGTCGAGGGAGGGTGTTTCTGCCAGTGGTCCAATCGCTTTCCCCTTTCTCGCTTCACAGCCGGGAAAGGATTCTGGTCAGAGATGCTGGGAGTTGGAGACTTTTACTATGAACTGGGTGTGCAGATCATCGAAGTTTGCCTGGCCCTGAAACACAGGAACGGAGGTGAGGATCCCACCATGTCTGGTTTCTAGGAGGTACAGTGAATAGGAGGATGCCTTTTCCCTGTGGAAAACGAGTGGCGTGGCTCAGTGTAGTGTTTTTCACTAGATTTCACAAATTCCTGAGATGGCGGTTTTCTTCATTGTCCCCAAAAGCCTCACTTGGCTTGTACGACGTGATATAGCTGCACCGCTCGCGATCACCCACCTTCATCGATTCTACAGAAATCCAGCAGCCCTGCCCTGCCCAGTTAACAAAACTGTAACTCTCGGTGCCCGGGGAAGGGGCAGGGGTCGGTGACAATCCTGAGGGAGTACGAAACTGCTGAGTTACTGCTTTGAGCCTGGCAGTGGGATTGTCTCTAAAGGATCACAGCGACATCCAGAAGAGTTGGAATACCAGTGATAAGCACCCAATGAAAAGATAGAGGTTAACTCCAGAAGGGCAATCGGAGCGCAGGAATGGGCTACAGCAAAGCCGGCTGAAACTTGAGTCCAGTACATTTGTGGGAGAAGGCAACAGCTGCCTGCTGCGTGCTAGGTCTGGGAACAGAAGGGTCGGGATGCTTATCCCACCCAAGGCTTGATACTGGGAACAATGACCAGCCGCTTGTAAGGGAAGGCCGGGGCGAGCCAGGGGCAGATGCACAAAGGACTCGGCTGCTCGCGCTGGAGTCATCTTGTTGCTATGCAGTAACGCTTTCCTGTCTCCTTTTGTCGGCTCCTAGGTCTGATAACACTGGAAGAACTTCATCAGCAAGTGCTGAAGGGAAGGGGGAAGTTTGCTCAGGATGTCAGCCAGTGAGTGTCCGTGTATCGCAGGAGAGGGGAGTTGAGTAGCATTTGGGGAAGAAAAGGGGGTGACTTGAAGGTGCTGCTGTTAATTGGGACTCTAAATTTGAATTCTAGCAATGGAGCCACTTACACGTGATCCCCAATTAATGACTTAACCAGTTCAGAGGCAGCAGCGTGCTTTCCCTGGGAGCCCTCCAGCATAAAGGACTGTTGCCGTGAGCTGGAGGCAGTCCGTCCGTCCCCTGCAAGTCCAGCTCTGACCGCTGCAGCCTGCTGAAGCTGCTGCGGTCTCCTGAGCTGGAAGGCAGGCACTGATATGTGTCATTGCAGAAGCAGATTTTAGGTCACAACTCACCATGATCACTAATTGGGGCTGAATCATAAAGCTCAGGGGCTCCAAGCGTGTCTCTCATGCAGTCTGCACTTCTGAAGGGGGGCATGGATATGCAAACTAAATTAGTTTTTAAGATTTTTTTTTTCCAGCTGTTGATTACCTGAAACTGCAGCAAGCTCCAAGGAGCTATCGCTGCTCATAGCTTCTGCACGTCAAGTCTTCCTCATTTACAGAACGTAGCGTGCAGTTTGAGAGAGGCTCTCGCTTTAAAGCCTTGCATTGACCTCTGCTTCTCAGGGATGATCTCCTTCGTGCAATCAAGAAGCTGAAGGTCTTGGGGAATGGCTTTGGGATTATCCCTGTTGGTGGGACGTATCTGATCCAGTCTGTACCAGCTGAACTGAACATGGATCACACTGTCGTCTTGCAGCTGGCAGAGGTACTGAGCCAAAAGACTTTAAAATACAACCACCTTGAAAAAAACCTTACTGCTTCCATGACAAGGAGCTGTGATTAGACCAGGCTGACAGGCAAAACTGTCCCCACTCTGCTAAACTATGGACTTAAGTTGATGATAAGCACACAGTCTTTTTCCTCTCATTTCAGAAAAAGGGCTACGTAACAGTCAGTGAGATCAGATCCAGCCTGAAGTGGGAGACGGAACGTGCAAAGCAAGTGCTGGTACGTATGAAGGTCTCTTGTGGGCAGTGGAGTTCCATGAAGGTCTCTTGTGGGCAGTGGAGTTCCATGACAGCCTGGTGGCTGCTCCCACAGCCCTGCGGCAGATGGGAGTGCCGGGGATGCGTTATCACGGCATGCGTGGGGGATCCTAAGCTCGCTGGTAGAGCAAAGGTGGAGTACACACTGTGTAAAGGTAGGCTGAGGAAAGCAGGACCTCAGAAGCTGCAGATATTCCTGTGGCTTCCCTGATCCCCATTAAAACTCAAATCTTGTTAGCTCGGGTCCTACACAGACGTGCATGGTGGGCGTGGCTGGATGTCTGAACTATAACTTCTCCTGGTCAAGCTGAGTAAAAAATAATTGTAGCCCAAGTTCTACACCTTCCCTTACCCTAGAATGAAGGCGGGGTCAGGCTGCTATTGTGAATGGCCTCTCAGCCAGTTAAGTTTCACTCACGGTTTCCACTCTGTTTGTATAGGAACACTTGCTGAAGGAAGGAATGGCCTGGCTGGATACGCAGGCAGCAGGAGAACCTCAGTACTGGCTGCCTGCTCTCTTTACAGAGCTGTACTCTCAGGAAATCACTCCAGAGGAAGCCAAGGAGGCAATACCTTGACTGCTATGTGTTCTGTGCCTGTATATAACTCTTCTTGTGGGGTTACTTGCACATCACCTGAAACACAGGGACAGCGGACTTGAAATAAAAGTTTCGTAAAGAGTGTCTAGCTTGAGAAGTTGAATAGGCCTAATTCATACTTGCTTACCTCTGAATTTGCTCCTCTGTTGTGGGTGGAAGTGACACTTACCACTACAAACAACTAATTTTCTTCTTCCTGTGACAAGGTAATTATCTAAGCTGCAACTGCAGTCTCAGAGGATGCAAGTGTGACCCCGAGTAAAGAATCTCGGAGCCAGCAGTGACACCAAGGAACTGTTGTGTAGTTCTCTCTGCTCTGTGAATGAGTCGTTGTTCCACTAAGGAGTACCACAGTCTAGATTCAGCCAAAACAAACTTTATTGCACAAAAAAAAAAAATCTTATGTACAATAGTATATAAACAAGGTATCTTAGAGTGACTCTTGTGCATATATTTTCAACTCAATTAGGTCTAAAAATCTGTTGCTAAAACATCTCTGCCTAGAGCAGTCATCTGAGGATTGTCACTTTGAAATGGAAACATTCAGAAATGGAAGGACAGACAACATTAGAGCTATAAAACTAATACTTCTCTTGTACAGCCACATGCTAGTTATGTGAATAGTGTCCACAATAAGGCATTTTCTTGTTCCGTTGTATCGGTGGATGGTAACGCCACATGCATCACAAACGGATTTCAGAACCAGCTCTGCCTTGGGAAGGCAGCAGAGTCACAGCTCTACCCACAATGCTACCGAATGGTGAAAAACAACGTGACATTTACAATGGGATTAAAGAGGCGGCGAAGTAGCGCGCAGCTCAGGGCTTCTCGGGAGACCCCTCTGCCTCCCCGAGACCTCATTTCCAGGTGAACCCCGCTTTATTTACTCTCACCTAGCATATGTGTTGAGCGAGTCCTATGTAAGTTCAGCTTTCCCTCGAGGGAAGACAGGGTTTAAGTCTAAATCAAGCCAATGACAGACCGAGGGGAGTTTGCTTGCTAAAGGGAAAAAACGGTTCTTAAGTTGATAAATGGCACCTTAACAATTGGGAAATGTTTCCACCTTTCAGCTTTTCAGAACTGCTTAAGCAGCAATGTGCAGGCTTCTGAGTTCTGCAAGAGTTGATCTAAATCACAGAGACCGAAAATAATTCAGTGACGCATGGGGCATTGCCTTTCTGTACAGCACATGGCAGGGGTCTTTCTTTTGGCCCCTCTATTCTGCACTTTTTTTAGAACAAAGGTGACCACGTTGGAAGTTCTCCCACCACCACCAGGAGTCTGAAGCAGGGCTGAGCTGGTGGGAAGGTGTTTAAAGAAACTGGGAGAGGGCCCAGGACAATGTGCAACTTTGTGCTTAGCTTTCTATCAAAGCTCCCGTAAAAATAATAATAAAAAAGTAGATTAAGCTCTTTATCAACAAAACATTATACTGCTCCAATCAATCATCACCAGGCTCATTTACCTGGAGAAACTGGGTATTCCACCTCCACCCGAGTTACACGGAATACACCTTTGATGTATTGGCACTCGCAGCCAGCAGCCACCTCTCCGAGAGGCCGGCCTTCCCTCACAGTAAAAAGCTGCTGTTTAAAGCGTTCAAAGCACTGAAGTGTTAAACTTTACGACACTCGGCTAGCTTGCGCTCGGCCAAGTTTGGCAAAGGAATTTGTCCGTGACAAGGCGTACACCTCTGAAGAACTCCACCCAGGAACAGTGGCTTCCTTAGCTAGAATTGCCCCTTATTCTAGCGTGTCAATCTGACAGGTCAGGGTAGCAGCGGGGAGTGAGGTGGCAGGAGGAAGAAGGGAGGAAAAATAAAACATTACACTGAGTAGAGAGGTGGAAAGCAAAGAGTACTTCAGTTAAGGAAACAAAACAGCTCTGTTTAGAGCAGCCAGAATAAAATATTTCTAGAATGCTAAATTCAAATCAACACCTTAAAAAAATAATACACAAACTGGACTTATTTTTAAGTGTTCCCCCCATCTCTGACCGAGGATTTTCTCACCCTCCCTTCCCCAAAAGGCCAGGATGAACACACCTGCACTCGATTTATGGATTCTTGCAGTTTCCGCTTTTCACCTGCCCCTTTGTGCCTGAAGTCTCACTGGATGAAGTCACCCAGGGCTTGAGTAAAGCTTTCAGAAAGGAGCCCAGATTCCACCACTGCTCTTTTATCTTTGGTCTGTCTAGAACAGTGTCTAGAAGAAAGACATCAGGTAGATGGGCTCCACAGAGCAGAGAGGCTCCATCTCTCCCAACCCGCACAAAAAGGTTTCGCCCGGGCACACGGTGCGCGGGCCCTGTCACACCCTGGACTCATCGAAGTGCTCCCACACCTACAGCTCCACGTTCAGCATGGCCCCAGGGAAGGGCTCACTGTCTAGGAACAGAAAAGCTGTAAAGAGGATTTGCAGTCTAGATCTCATTCTTTAATCAAATGGAGAATAAAAAAAAAACCAAACAAACAAAAAAAAAAAAAAAAACAACCAGTGTAGGTGTTTCCAAAAAATAACCTGACGCCACATGCTCCAGCTTTCTAGCATAGTAAGTACCTTTTAAGAGTAGCCTGTCACAAGCTTGGCTTTGTCTAGCATGAAGTCTTCTCGTTCAGCGTTATCCACCAGAGCAGTAAAAGGAGACAGAAGATATCCCGCAGTTTTCTCTGCTCTGGCATCGATTTGGTTGTCGAGTCTGTCAGGGGTACTCTAGAGCGTGAAGACAGAACATCCCCATGGCTTGGCCTCTCCACTGTTAACGCAGCTCTAAGCTTTAGAGCAACCTTGAATGTCTGTCTCTGTCTCAGAGGAACTGCTCTCAGAGTCTATTTCTGTATTCTCCTGCTGGTGTTTCTCTTGCACCTTCTGCCGAATGCCTTGCAAACGCACTAATAGGGACTGATAGTCAAAGTGGCCTCGTTTTTCACCAAAAGGATCCTGGAAGAAAACCGTAGATAAGCCTGTTAATACAGACCATTATCCTGCTGGCAAGAGGCAGAAAGGAAAAAGCCATATCGTAACTGGGCAACAAATGGTCAAAGACTTAAGGGTTAAATCCCATCTTATGACAGAAAGGGCCCTAAACTTTCCATTGTCATGGCAGAGGTTGAAGACTGAAGATAATTTCTGTTTGGAGTCTCTTTTGGGAAACCTTACAAACCCAAGCAAACTTCGAAAGGCCGGGAAGACATGGGTTGGATTTCTAGTAGCAGCTTTGAGGAAGGGAACTACTTCAAAGATTTGGTCTCAGGCCCGCTCCAAGGAGGCAGGGAAAACATTACAAATGAAAGCCCCTAAAACCCAGAGGCCGGAGACTTGACCACACTTTATATTAGTGCTACAGACCCTTTCCAAATGAAAGCATCACTATTCTTATTGTAAATCAAGGCCCCCAGCTGAGATGTAGCCAAATCAGAGGCAAGAAAGTCTTTGGAAATTATATAATATTTGCTGCTTTTATCCCCGTCCCAGGTCAAAGACACATTGCTAGGGCTATACGAGGTGATGGTGGAGTTTAGGCTGTCCTGTCTGATGGGAACCTCTGGTACAAGCCCACACGTGGCCCCAGAGTTAACAAGACAGCACATCTGGCAAGCACTCCACCGATACAGAGCCTGGAGTGACTGTATTTGAAATACAGGGCAACGAAGACAACAATGCAATCTCTCCAGCACGTTGTGTTCACGCTTGCTGCACTACTATTTACAAGTGAGCAGAAAACAGATCACAGCAGTGAGTGTCTCTGGGAACTGAACACAACACAGTCCCAGGCCACAGTCCATAAACCCATGGAGGAAGCAACCGAGCCCTGGCTCCCTGAAGAATAAACAAGAGCGGGCCACACCTGACAGTCCTCTGATGTCACCAAACTTCACTACACAGCCTTCAGTTCAGTGCTCTCTGCAGGCACAGACCTTCCTTATGGGAATTTCTCACTCCAAACACCAACTCTCCTGCTCTGGGAGTGCTTTCAATTAATGAATTACACCGCCAGTGAAGGCACTGACAGGAAAAAAGGGCTCGGAGACACAAGATCATTAAATCAGCCACCTCCATCTTTTCTTAGCAGTGGAATTTCTCAATGAGTCAGACAAGAGGTGGCTGATGAGGGCGGAAGACACATCTGTTCATACGCAAATAGCTTGGCAATTCTTTAAAGTCTACTTTCCTGCAGAAACAAGCTCCTGTATTCAACCTGTCTAGATGTGTCTGCCGTATTGTCACTCTTCCCCACCCCTTCCTCCTCCAGTAACTTTTCGCTCAGTCAGCCACTTTCAATCTCATCTGACAGAACAAGGAGTGTCAGAGAAAAGTTCCTACCTGTTGTATGAGCAAAGGAACCTCAGGAAGAGAGAAACTCTACCAGTGACCCAACAGGAAAATACGGCAAATGGAGTTCAGTTGCCACCAGCACGGAATAACCTGCATGTGCCCTCCCTGGCTTAGCACCAAATCCACATGAAAACAAACCGTACCGGTTCCACTGCTGAAAGAAGTACCTGCTTGCCTGGAGAGTGCCTCAGGTCCAGCACTCCGAGAAGTCTAACAGCCTTGCACACACCACGTGCACACTCTGAGCTTGGGGAAGGTAGTGTTTTAGCCACAGGAACGCCTCAGGTCTCAGTTTCACGGGTGATTCAAAGTTGGAATCCACATTTCATAGAAAAGATCCGGATCCACGCCATGTACCCCTAGGTGCTGCACATTGTTGTTTGTCACTAAGCACACACCCTTATCTAAGGCAGTGTGTTATCAACAAGAAGATTGTCTGCCACCCACCTGCATCGTCTGTCCTTGCAGATAAAGTCTCTCTTT